GAAGCACATTATACTCCAGGATGGGGACCAGCAGCTGTGCACAAAAACAAGACTAGGACCGCTTCTATAGTTCCATAGGCCACGGAGCAGATTCTAAAGTCAAGGGTCATTCCAATCATTTAAGGTGACTGCAGTACTATGCACATTGGGGCGGCCTGATAGCAGCTGGAAGACCCGCTACCCCTCAAATTTCTCTCCCACGTTTGCATGTCACAGAGCTTCAAATTTCCACTGTTAGACTCACTACTCTGGATTCAGGATATTCACAGGCGCCCTGGTTAAGTTATGGGCAGTGTTCCCCTCGTGGCCTGTGCATCAGAATCACTGGGGTACTAGTTAATTAGAGATGGCTGGGACCCCCGCCCCTGAAGACTCTAATTCCTAAGTTTGTGCTGAAACTAGGAAAGTGTCCCAGGCGGATCTCATGATGGGGCAAGGCTGGAAAACCCCATTCTGGTGGGGACCCTTCAGGTCTGGAGTCAGGATCTCCAGCTTTCTCCCTCAGCTCACGCAGAAGAGCACAGTATGCAGGCCCCAGAGAGTCACCTGGTCTGTGATGAGGATCAAAGCTCTTCCTTCCTCAAGGGGACTATGAGAGAATAAAATCAGATAAGAGACTCAAAAATGCCTCAAAAACTGTAAAGATACATAAGAAAGCATTTTAAGGGAGTATGGGAAATAAGGTTGGGAAAGGGAATACAGGTCTAGTTGGAGTGTCCTGCATTTGATCTAGCAGGGTGAGGAGTGAGTATGATAAGAGAGTATTCCAGAAAGATTAAGCTAATGGTATCAACCATGGTGGACAGGCGGCAAGAGAGGCTGCAGGCAGGATGCTGTCTTCTAGGGGGTGATGAGGTGACACAACGGAAGAAAACAAGGAAAGAAATCATTCTTATGGGTTTGCGGTTTGCCAAACCTGCTACCCCTTTTCCTGGGAACATGACCCAATGACATTTGGGTTCTGAACTATGGAAAGCAGGTGGAAGTGATCTGGCCACTTCCCGGCAGGGACTGTGCAAACCTTGTGTGTGACCCTCTATCTTCGGTCTTCCCCTTGTGCTGGCTGAATGCAGAGCCCAGCAGGGAAGCGGGCAGCCCCAGCGGGTGGCAGGATGCAGAGTGGATGGAGCCCTAGTAGGGGAGACCGTTCACCAAACACTGCACTGAGCTCTTGTGTGACCAAGGTGATAGACTTGTTTCAGCAGTGGACCTCTACTGACCAACACATTGCCTTCCATTTCAACAGTGAAACTTCTAGTTTACAAAAGAGGATGCTGTTGCTTATCTTATTTGATCCTTATAATAATCCTGCCAGACAGACCAGATCTCCATTATACTCAGGAAGTACCCAAATGAGGAGAGATCACGTAACTTTCCCACATGGCATCCTTCTCCCAGAGGCCTGTGGTCAAGCCCTGCCCAGAACCCTGTATCCTCAAGGAAAAGCCTGAGGCACTCGTGATAAAGGACCACGGACACATGGCTCCTTTGGTTTCTAAGGCAAATCACAAACACTGAGAATCCTAGATTATATGATATGACTGTAAAATCCCGCAGAACCAAAAGTGAAACTGAATGAAAGGCAGGAGAGAGGGCCCCTACCCAGTCACCTGCTGTGTTTCCTGGGCCTCTCTCACTGTCAGCATTAGGAAGCAGGGGTGTGCCCTGAGGGCCAAGGAGCCTTGGGCTGAAGCAGGAAACCCTTACCGGTTGCCATGCCAACCTCCCCAATTGAATTTTTAAGAGATACTAACAGCTGCGGTTTTCACTTCCTCTTCATTCTAGGTAATATATTCCCAGTTGGACTCCATTCACTACACACCCTCCTCTCCTTCACCTTTCGTGTTATCTCTCCAGTCTGATACTTGTTTCTTTCCCCCTTATCATAGAATACTGAAAAACAGAAGTGGAAAACATCATCCTCCGGTCCATAGAGGTTGATATAGGCTGTAGGGTAACCAGCATCAAACTTCTACACTCACAGTTCATGGGTGACCCAAGACACACTGAAGACCTCCCACTTCAAAACCCCTCTCCTCGGATGCAACAGACTCAGGCACGCCACCTTTAGATAATTAAGCACTTTCTCCTCTTTTAAAATATAATTGCCCCACACAAGCAGGTGGTAGCACATGCAATCTCCTACATTATAAATAAAAGTCCAAAATTGCTCAACCTGCCATCAGAGGTGCCTCATGATCCAACCCTAACTTATATTTCTGTCCACACCCCAACATCCCTTCACTATCTCTTTGCCACTTCCAAGAAGAACTCTTAGTTCTTCCGGGGCACAGCCTGACATGTCTCTCCTCGATATGCGCCATCGTCCATGTATTCCCTTCATCTAGGACTTTCCATGTATTCCCTGCCTCTTGAGTTGCTTCTTCATCACCTTTGCTAACTCTGCTTGTGCCTCATTCCTCCCTCCCCAGCGGGCATTTCCGAAAGCCCAGTCCGTGTGTCTTTGCTCCTTCTCTACGCTCCCTCCTCCAGGGAACTGATTCCTTCAACTTATTCTTCCCTAAGCAGAAGATTCACATCCCCGGCCCTGACCTTCCTCTCATTCTTAGTTCTGATTGTCCAGCACTTGAGCGGACAGCTGCACTTAATTGGCCTGCCGTCTCTTCAAACAAAACAGTCCTAAAACCAGAAGATTATTCTCATTACTAACAACTCCTTTCCTCACAGCTCTATTTCTATTATAGATTCACAGAGTTTCAGGATTAAAAGGAACCCTAACACTCAAGCTCAATTCCTTTATCTGCACTCAGTCTGTTTACAACATCTTAGACAATAATGGTCAAGCCCTTCATTGGTATCACCATTCCAAATATGGAAACCAGTCTCTCCAGAGGTGAATTGACCATGAAACCACTGAATGTTAAGCTTTGGTATCCCCCATATATTTGCATAGCTTTCTTCCAAGGCCTGTGCCCAATTTTGTATCCACAAGGTTCTTCCACAGCATACTCTTCCTTTCAGCCCTAGTTTGGGCTCATTGTCACCTCCAGACAGGAACACTGGAGAATCCTCCTCATGGGCCTCTCCCTCAGGCTCTCCTCATTCTAACGTGGTCACCTGGTCACCATGAACTCAGCACAAGAACAATGGCAGCAGGTCACATTTCTCTCTCTTCTCTTCCTTAAATCCCTATCATGTATCCCAAAATGTTAAAGTATGAATTTATCTGATAAAGGGGTCAGACTGGGTGACTTCTAAGAGGTTTTTCCAAATCAAAAACTCTATGATTTTCTGATTATTGATCCCATTTTACAGAAAAGGAAACTTTGCCTTAAAGAAAGTCACACAACCAATGTGTGTAGCAGAGTCGGCTTTGGAACCCAGGTCTTCTTACTTTGAGTTCATTAATCTTCCCACTACATCATGCAACAAAGCCCATGGAACTTTCTAGGTAAAGAGGGACCAAATCAAGCTCCCACCCTGTGTAGAAACTTCCAGTCACTCCCCGTCACTAACGAGGGAGCAAAAAACACTTAATTGCCATTCAAAACCCCTTCCCGCTATTGCTGTTCTTCCTATCTTGTTTCTAACCGTGCCCCTCCATATGCCATTCTCTTCAGGCACCTTGTATACCCACAGGGCCCTGAACATCCTCACCTCCATGCTGTTGCGGGACCTGACATGACTGCCCACTCCTAGCCACTCTGTGAATCATAAACAGTCTTCAAAGCACAACTCAAGTCTCACCTCCCCTCAAACTATACCTGGAGACCTCAGCCAGGTCACACTGGTCCGTTGATCCGCACCCCTCATTTCATCTCCTGTCACTCTTGTGGCACGGATGCTGGTTTGCCTTTTTCCCCCTCAGCTGCAAACTCATGGGCTGCTGGGACCCCATCTTCTTTAATCTCCCCTCCCCCTTTCAGCTTGCAGAGTAGGTGGCCCCATAAACATGTTTGTTAACTGGTTAATTGGTTGATTGATTGTTTTCAATCCTTTAACTCCCTAAATTCCTTATCTCGTTCATGCTCAGCTTTTAAAATGACTTGTCACTCTTACATCATTAAAAAACAAAATTTCAAAGGAAGAAGAGCAAGTTATAAAAGAAAGGTCAAAAGCATTCTTTTCCTTCCTTTTCTGGTTTATTCATGGTCAGTTTGGGGTCATTCATGCTAATAAGCATATTTGCCTCTGCCTCCTCCATCCTGTGAAATGCACACTTCAAGTGGGGACTCAATTTCCTCTTGCCCTTTGGATGGCCCACTGGGCAGTTCAGCTCTATTTAGCAGGGTCTGGGCCAGTGGCTCTCTGGCTTTGACAAATCCTGGAATTACCCAGGGGTAGTTTTTCAAGGATGCACATGTCTACGCCTCACCCGGACCTCCCGAATCTGAACCTTTGGGGACAGGGCCTGAGCAAGTCCATGTGAAGAAGCTTTGCTATGACTTTTACATGCCCCGAAGGCTGAGCACCATTGGCCCAGCCATCATTTACCATGAGCGCTACAGTCAGTCTAATTCAAAGAGTCTTCCCACGCCAGCAGAGCTAGAGGGTACTTCTAGAGGTTAACAACTCCATTGCTTTTTATCGGAAAGGATTCATTTCAGTTCTGACAGTAGACTATCTATCTTATTTATCCTTAAAAAATTGCACGTCTCAGAACCAAGATACTCCTTGAATAATTATATGAGTTTGCAAAGTAGATTCTCACTCAGGCAGCTGGCAGAGAAATTTCCCCCATAGTTGGAGCTGACTCCTCAGAATATGAACAGAGTCAGGTCTAAGATGCCCTGGCTGGGGAAAGCTCTTCCACTGACTCACATCTTCAGGAAACCCACGCGTAACCACTTTGCTTCTCTACTATTTCTAGTCCCCCAGCTTTGATGACAAAAACAACTGAGGAAGTCTCCTGGGTCATAGTTTTAAAAGATACCAGATATTGAGAGTCTATTGTGTTTTCATATAGTCCAGATAGATAATAGCTGTAAAGGTGTGTGCATATTTTTTATGAGACAAAGATAGCTCTGCAGAGCTGGAAGACTGCAGCGGAGGGAGTGGGAAAGTCTGCACAGAGACCCTGGGGGTCCTTTTGGAACTAAAGGATCTAGATTCCAGAGCCTTCTTTCTCATCTAAGAGTCAGAGTTATGGGTACCCTTTAGGTGAGTCTGGGAGGCTCTGCCCAGAACCCAGTGACAGGAAAGGGAACGAAGCCCCTGAAACAACATCTCCATGGAGCTGAAGGGGGAGAGGCCAGTGCAGCACCCGTCACCCAGCCCCTACCCTGCACCCACCATGGTTTGATGCATCCTGGCCAGACCCCGGGGCTATGTGGGAGCTCCCTTGGATGAGGGAGCAACTGACAGGAGGAATCAACTTCCCTTGAACTTGAAGAACCCCACAGTTGGTCAGGGGTCTGCCCTCACCCTGTGGTCAGGCCAACCACACTACTTCAGACAATGGCCTCTGGGCGCCTCCAGCTCTCAGAGCAGCAGCCCCAGCACAGGCAATCATTCCAGTGACGGTTGTACTGTGCTCCAGCTCCCAGTGGTCTGTGTCCTGACTCTAGCAACAAAGCAGAAGCAGACAGGACTTAGTCTCTGTCTTCCTGTACACATCAAGGGAGGGAAGCCGAAGGGCTTGGCTTCTAACTATTTGGGCGACAATGGGCCTGCAAAAGAGGCTTTACTTATACCCCAGATTCATACACAGCTCAGTCAATGCTCACACCAACTCCATGGAATATGTAGTGCCATTATCAGCATTGCATTGGTAAGAAAACTGTGACCCAGAAAGGCCAAGCAGCCTGTCCTGGCTCACACAGCTGGTAAGCACATCCTGACACCCAAGCTGCACTCTTCCACTACTCCTCCGTCACCACTAACGTGGGCCCACCATCTAGCAACTCAAAAGGAACCAAGAATGGAAAGCTTTTGACCTGAATGTCTAAATCAATGGACTCGGCCCTGGGTGGAGAGAGCCAATCCACACCTGGACAAACTACACAAGTTGGCAGGGAGGCAGGAGCTGACACTGCTGACAGTGGACTTCAGCATCTGCAGACCCCAAGTCTTCACGAACCCCACCACCTGCCATAGCACCCAAGATGTGCATCAGTCAACCTTTGACACTAGCACTCCCATGGATGAGTGACTAGGCAAAGACGCACCCACTGACATAGCAGGGCAGATGAATTTGTGTACTGGATTATTGACCACAGATCAAAACCTGAAGGTGATGGGAAAGAAGAACAGTTGCTTGAAGTGATAAAGGGAAGGTCAAAACCTAACGAGTTCATGCTTAGGCAAGCGAGCTGCCCAAGATGATCAGGCACCAGAGGGCAGCTGGGGTCTGAGCATGAATGCTGCAAGATTTGATCCTGTCTGTTCCGGAAGTCAGATGACCAGACCATGGGTCACCATGACTTGACTTGTGCCCTGCACCACTGTCAGAGCCTTCTGGATCACTCAGTAAATGAAACAACTAGTCATTTCCATCTGACAATCAGCAGGACTCTGTTCTATTTCCCCCACACTGAAATGATGATTATTTGACTAGACCGACCCCATGCACTGAATGTTCTGGAGTCCTGTGGATAGGGCTTCACAGTCCGTCAGCATCTGTTAACTGAACACTGATTGGATGCCAGCTCTCTATCAACAATACTCCTGATCATGATGCCCTGAGGCCATTAGACGTTCTGGACATTGATCCTCATTAGCAAGGCCACCTAGTCCAATTGTGGCAGAAACTGCCTGCCATCGGACCCGCCTCTGATTATGACTCAGTGGCTCTCCACCAGAGCCCCATGCTGCAGTCACCTGGGGCTGGAGTTAAAAATACCGATTCCGGGTCCCACCCACAAAGACTTTGATATAGTCTGCCTGGGGAACAGCCTGGCATCGGGGAGTTTTTAAATGTCCCCAAACGATTTGAATATGTAGCCAAAGATGAGAACCACTGGTTTCTGTTGAAATTCACACTCCTGGCCCCAGGAGACATTTGTTGCAAACTGGTCCACCATCATCTTCACTTGGTGGTTTGCTACCTCTGGGGTCGGGCACGGGGCTGGGTGGAAGAGTCAATACAGATGGGAGGAACATCCGGATCCCAGGACTCAGCACATCCTGTGTTTGTCTTTCCAAATCACCTTCCATTTTGCTTTTGCTTCCTTGCTCTTCCCTCTTTCAATAAACTACACTCACTGCCACTATCAACTGACCTGTTGTCCTCCCTTTACGATCAAAGTCCAAGCTGCATATGATCTCATTTATTCTCAAAATAGTCCTGCGTGTGAGGAAGGAGCCAGGCTTTTGTTCTCTAAGGCAAAGCTGGGACCTGCAGGTCAAGAAAGGTTCTATCTGCCATGGAATTCATCTCATTATTTGGTTTCAATGTGTTCATAGCAAGTTTCAATTTACAAAGTGCTTTCGCCTATTTGCTCTTGTGGAATCCTCACAGCAAGTGCGTGTGGCAGTATTTTCATAGCCAGGGTGGCCACATATCCTGATTTGCCCTGAACAATCCCGGGTTACACCTGCTGCCCCAGTCTAACTATTGGTGGCACCCCCTTTCACTCTCAAACCAAGTGTCTTGGTTTGGACAATAAATTATATGGTCACATTATTTATAATGACTCTCTTGTTCGAAGAGGGGGCTATTGAGGCTCATATGTTCAGAGTCACTCAGTTAATTATAGGCAGAGACAAGACCTGGACTCATGTCCCGTGTCTTCAAACCTCTGCCCCATCCATGGGTATCATGGAGCACTAGAATCAGAGCTGATCTACTCAACACTTTCTTATATAGATGAAGAAACTAAAAATGGGGGGAAAAGGTGTCTTAAAAGTCACTATTCAAATGTTCCCTGGAAGGGCGAGACTTGGAGCCCAGGGCAGAGATGGGCTAGTAACGTATCAATAACTGTCATGCTGGATGGCACTTGAGAGCCCAACTTGGCAAAAGAAAGGGCAAGGCCTGACATACGGGTGTTCGGAAAAGGAAGAGTAAGAAATTTAGAGTCTAAACTGCTGGATTTGAGGACTGGATCTGAACGTCATCTGCTGTCTCCCTCTGGGCACTTCACACCCCCCTCTAAGCACACACGCTCAAATGTAAAACAGGACTAGTCATTCTTACTTCCCTAGGTCACCAGGAGAGCAAACTGCAGCTCACCCAGTGCCCTGACAGCATCAAGCCTCCCCAGGTCCCTGTGAGTCTCATTTATTTGCTTTCTTCATTTTTCACATGAGTGAACCAAGGCTCATGAACAAGGATGCTGGGGATCCAATGACGTAAGGTATTTGAAGGTGCTCATAAATCCTAAAACGCTGCCATTTATTATTATTATTATCACCCGCAGCAGCAGTAGTAACAGATAACAATAGGCAATTGATGTGGGACAGAAGTGTATGTCCTTGAATCTCCCTGGATGACCGAGGTTTTGAATGACACGCCCAGTAGACAGGCAGGGTTGGGGAAGCGAGTGTTAAAGATGACCACATCACAACTCTCTGGGTGGAGCCCGGCCTGCCTGGGAGGTTTCCTAGTCACCAACCTGCCAGCCCTGCAGAAAGCACCTCACATGCCTGACACCCTCAGCAAGAAGGCCTTTTTTCTTATGAAAACCATACAGCTAAGAGTAACTTCAAACTCTGGAAATGCCTGGTTCTGTAATTCAGGACATCGCTTCCCTGAAATGAAACCATTCAAAGCCTGCCCAGCGCTTTATTTCACAACTATTTTCAGCCTTTACTTATCCCTGTAAGTGATAACTACTAACCAGATGCTCAAAAAAGGGGGGAAAAAAATATCAAAAGAGCTTTCCTATCTGATTTTTTGTTCCCCCATCAGTCTGGATTTTGCACTCACCGCAAAGGCCTGCCTGGCTCTCACGGGTTGCTTTCCTTTAGGGAAAAAGCAAATGACAACACAGGCATTTTAGAACTCTTTGGGGGCACTGGGGCCTGTGCAGTGAGCTTTTTAGATAAATGGAGAAAACTTCCAAAGCTGACCGCATGAAATTCCAAAGGTGCCAGCAGGACCGCTCTCCATGCCCAGCACTGGGGCCGAGAGCTCCTTCTTCTCTAAAGAGTCAATTTGTGTTTCAAATATCTTTTAGGAACTTGACTCTGTGAAACTACTTGCTCCCAGGGAATCTGAGAAAGTCCTAGAATAGCTTTCTTCACGGAGAGCAGCAAGACTTGCCGCTTTGTTAGAGTTCTCTCTATTCACTCCCGAGACGGCAGGCCTGGCTGCTGAGATTCAGGGCACCCCTGGCCCTCGGTCCAGCACTGCCCAGCCTCGGAGGGGATGTGGCCTTCTTCATCACCTGGGTGGGCCAGAGGACCTGGAAATCCTGCCCAGAGGGCTCCCAGCAACCAAATGAGGACAACAGAAGCCACATTTTAAGGGTGAGAAACAGGCTGAGGAAAGCTAGTGTCAGTAAATGACTGGTGTAATTTCTACAGATAATTTTGAAAAACGAAACCCAAAGAATGCAAAACCCAGCGGAAGAAATTTAACAAACCTTTGCAGTAGGCTAGGCCAAATGGGACGGCCCACCTCCCAAGTGTAAAATAAGTTACAACTAATTTTATATTTTTTAGGCCCAAAAGGTACCAAAGACCAAAAGATTGATATCAAGATTTATGTACATCTAATACTTTTTTTTTTTTGCAAAAACCTCTCTATTTGTTTAAGTAACTTGTAGATAAGAATCATTAAGCAAACTAACATCTTCTCTATTCCAGGGAATATATATGCCTCTTAAATTCAGCCAGAAGGAACCCGGACCAGCGCTGAGGACTCTTTCCTTCTCAGTTACCTGCATATTTCTAGGGAAACTGCATTCTAAGATTTGTTTCCCCTTTGTGAAAGGTTTTGACGCTCAGGCGGCCTGCCCACTCCCCTCCCCCAACTCCTGGCGACTGTTTCTGCACCGCCCTCCGCCCTGGAAACAACTCTCCTGCCGCCTCAGGTTTCCCCGCTTCTGCGGCGTCGTCGGCACCGAGGACTGATCAAATGTTACTTTCTTATTACACCAGCGAACCGGGAAACGCCGCCGCGGCCTGCAGCCTCCCTCCCACAGGTTGCAAAAGAAATGCAGTAGCTTTGACGTTAGACTTTTTCTGCCCAGAGAGCAAGGCGACTTAATTAGTTTTTCCATTGTGCCCCGTCAGCCCAGTCGGCCCTAGGGTGACGGGGCCCTATCCCCTATTGGCAAACCCGTAGCATTTCCCGATACCACCCTGCAGAATCATGATTAGGACAATAATCATAACGTCGGCGAACAGAGGGTTTTCTGCTTTGCAGGTCACAGAGCAAAACAGCATCTTTGTTTCCCTTTTGCTTTCTTTTAGTAACTCTGAGTAAAAGAGAGAAAGGAGATTTTAAGAAATGATAATTTTGGTTTGCCAGAGAGAACTGTATCAGTAACGTTTCCTTTTCTCTCCCTTTCCTCTCCCCCACCACCCTGAATTTTAGGAGAAAGGTTCACGGGCCCAGCCAGGTTCCTGCCATCTCGCTACACCTGGAGATGCTCTTGAGGACCGCCAAAATCGCGCCGGGCCGGGCTCTGGCCCCATGGTGGTGATCGCCTGTCCTGCAACGGGTTTGACAAACTGCCGGGCCAACTGTCCAAGAAGACAGCCACCTGCCAGATTGCACCTGACTCTATTCGGCCCGGGAGCGCCGAAGCGAGGCTCTCTGGCCTGCAGAAAGGCCACCCAGGGGACCGCGAGGGCTTGCCCGCACTCCCAGGGGAGGTCCAGCATCCCAGCGCGGTCCGCGCGCGGCACGTGAGCCAGGCGAGCCCGGCTGGAGGCGCAGCAGGTGCGCGGGCGCCGGCCGCCGACCTACCTTCACGAAGAGTTCGATCTCGGGGTCCCTGTCGTCCCCGTTAGCCGTCGCCGCGTCCGTCATGCCGTCGGCGCCCGGGGCCAGCGTCCCGGGCCGGGGAGACGCCACCTCTGCGGCACCCGGGCCAGCGCTCTGCGCTCCTGCTGCTGCCGCTGCTCGGCGGGGCCCCTCTTCAGAGCCGCGTTCAATATTTTTTTTTCTCTAATCTATTTCTTAAGCCGGGGACAGCGATGTCTGAGAGACCAGTGTCCCGCTGATCACAGGGTGGGGGACAGGAGGCAAGGGCTGGAAAGGTGGGTTCAGGGATGGCCGCAGGTCCTGTGAGCAACAAGTGCCGGGCTGCAGAGAGGTGTCACAGGATCCCCGCCTGTCAGCGATCCGGCGGTGGCGGCCAGCGCGCCCAAAATAGCCGGCGGCCGTGGGGCGGGGTCAGCGGGCGGGGGCGGGAGGGGCACCCCGAGAGCAAGGCCTCCGCCCGGGCTGGCCCCCGCCCCGCCCCCGAGGCACAGAGGATGACCTGGGAAAGGTAAAGAGCGGAGGGAGGGGGAGGCGAGGAGGAGAAAGAGAAGAGATGCTTCAGTCTTATGCTTCTTTGATGAAGCGTTAGCTCCTCCAAGTTACTCCACTAGCAGCCTTACCCCACCTGGACAGCCCCCTCCTGCCTCAGCAACGCTCTGAGTGGGGAGGAGCTGTGGGGAGCAGGGTAGGGAAGGAAAGGACCTCGAAAACAGGTCACTCGCCATCCTTGCGCTGAGCAAATAGGGTAGAGCAAGGCAGGGCGGGGTGGGGGTGGGGAGTTGTAAGAAGCCGGTGAGCCAACCGGGTCAGGTACAGTGGAACCCAGGATCCTTGACTTCTAACCTTCTGGGCTTGTTTCTTCTTCTCTTTTCTTTCATTTTTTTTTTTGTTTTCTTTTGCTTTATACTCTTTTCTTTCCTTTCTTTTCCACTCATTTCATTTCTGTTCTTCTCTGTTTGCTTTTTAGCGACGTATGATAGACATACGGAAAAAATGCGCATGTCCTTAGCGTACAGTTCAACGAACGCTCACAGTCTGAACGCACGCGTGAGAAAGCAACAGCAGAGGAAGAAATAAAATGTTAGCTACACCCCGCCCCCCGAAGCTCCTCCTAGTCTCTCCTCTGTACCTGTCCTCCACCTTCACCCCTCTCCCCACCAGGGTAACCATTATCCTGACTTGTAGCAGAGCAGGTTGGTTTTGCCTGGAATCTTACAGTAAATGCAGTGTGTACTCCTTGATGCCTGGCTTCTTTTGCTCACCATTATATGTGTGAGATTCATCCATTCTGCTCCGTGTGATCGTAAATCATCCATTCTTATTGCCACAATTTACTTATCCATTCTTCTGTTGATGGACGTTTGCACAGTTCCCGGTTAATGACTTGCACGGATACTGCTGCTATGAACAGGCTATCAAACATCCTGTCGTGAGCACATGGACACTTTTCTGTTGGGTACACACTTAGGAGTGCAATTGCTAGCTTATAGAGTATGAGAATATTCTTCTTGAATAAACACTGCCGGATGATTTTCTAAAGCGTTTGTACCAATTTACATTCTCAGCCTTCATTTCTTTTAAAAGTAGGTACTAAGTCTTTCCCATCTGGAATCTGGTCAGCTTCTGTTTGTTTTCTTTGCCTTCTCTTTAGTTAATCTTTTTTGTGCCCTGTCTTACCTTACTTACAAATATATATTTGCTTCACAGTTTTATAGGAAAAACAAAATACAAATAAGTAATAGTACTTATTACATGCCAGGCAAAAATGCTAAGTGCTTTACATATCTTAACTTGTTTAATCTTTACAAAAGTGATATTATTCTAATTTTACAAGTGGGTAAACTGAGGCATAGAGTATTTAAGTAACTTGCCTCTGGTCATCCAGCTAGGGCATGATGGAGTCAGGATTTGAACCCACACACACTGAGCCTGTGCTGTCGACTGATCAATTCACTGCCTCTCTCAAACTTAGTGCACACTGGGTAAGTCACTTTGGGGAAGCAAAGACACTGCCCTGGTTTTAATGGAGATTGAAATCCATTTCAGTATAATAGTCATATGGCAAATGGAGGGGCTACGTAAGTTCGCACATAGAGAGATTATTTGCCCCAGTTGGAGGGAGTAGAGGAAAAGGCCTCACAGAGTGGAAGGCACTTCAGTTGAACCTTCCTGAATGGGCAGGCATCTGATAGGCAGAGAGGATGGCAAGGTATCCTGACCACCCTTTATGACAGGCTGTTTCCCTGTAAACTCCAAGTGCAAATAACTCCTTCTTACTGAAGAAAGCAGTCACCAAGCCCAACCTGCAGTCCTCATGGTACACTACAGCTTAATCAAGGTGAGGTTTAATTGCTGTCTCCTCCTCCTTGGTTTCTGGCTTACATCACCAAAGCCTTTAGAGAAACAGTCACCTTCACAGCAGGACATTTCGAGCCAATGACTGCATACTCTGGAAAGGACAAAGTTGCACAGGGAGACTGGTACCTTCACTGCGTGCTGCACAGACTCACCACTTTCCTGCTCTGGAGTGTGGACAATATTTGCAATGCAATGTGGCAGAGGTAAATAAAATTATATGCATAAAATGTCCTCGAGGTTTTTTTTTTTAATGAAAGATGCTTTACACATGTGATCATTTTCTTGGTTATGATCTAAGCAGTGTATGGTATGACCTCTGCTTCCCTTAATCCCAAACCCAGCAGAGTTAGCTTTTATTTTATCTTCTCCAAGTATTTGCTACTTATTGGAAAACAGAACAGTTCCCTTTTAATTTTTAGATAATACCTCGCATTTGGACATCCCTAAAGATAACTGATAGTTTTGATATTATAAGCCTTCATCTTGCAAAAAAAAAAGAGTCGGCTTTGTTATAAAATATTTCTGTGCATATTTCTAGTTTTTAATTCCACATTCTGCTTTAGCTCAAGATAAAAAGACTTCATTTTGTATTCTTTAATGTCAAAGCATAATTAGAGTCAATTTTAGCTTTGTCCAGAGAAAAACAATTCCCTGATCGTAGTCTACTTCTAATGAGAATCATAGTTTCACAAACTTGGTGCAAGTTTTGGATGAATCTTTACCAGGAAAGCACTTTAAAAACATATTTAGTGCTCAGTGTGGCAACACATATACTAAAATTGGAACAATACAATGAAGATTAGCATGGCCCTGATGGAAGGATGACATGCAAATCTGTGTAAAAATATATCTTTTTGTATGATTGTTGAAGGAAAAAATTATAAGATTCTGATGAAGTTTTCAATAGATTCAGATTCGATGATATGACAGCTGCAACATAAAAGGAGGAGGTAAAGGGATTTATATAGTGGTGAGGTTTTTATCCTTCACTTGAAGTGTCACACTGTGAACTCTAAACCAATTGAGAAAAGTTAGGCGTGTATATTGTAACAACTCCTAAAGCAACAACTATAAAAGTTATACAAAGAGATATAGTGAAAAAACCAATAGATAAATTAAAATGTAATGGCAAGAAATATTCAAATAATCTAAAAGCCAAGACAGAGGGGGAAAGAGAACAAACATATAACTAAGAATAAAACTAATAATAAAATGGTACACCTGAATTCAACCATGTCAATACTTATACTAAATATAAATGGTCTAAACAAATCAATTAAAATCTGGACATTGTTGGATTGAATTAAAAAATCCCTAAGACCCAACTAGGTGTTGTTACAGAATTTCACTTCAAACATAATATCGATAATTTAAAGGTAAAAAGATAGGAAAAGAAATAAAATGCAAAAGAAAGTTAGTGGCTATATTAATATCAGACAAAACAGACTCCAGAACAAGGAAATTATCAGAGATAAAGAGAGATATTTCCTAATGATAAAAGAGTCAACTCCTAAAGAAGATATAACAACCCTAAATGTGTATATACCTAATAACAGAGCCTCAAAATACATAAAACAAAAGTTGATGTAACTAAAAAGAAAAAGAAACTAATACAAAGTTACAGTTGGAGACTACAACACTCCTCTCTTAGTAATTGATAGCACAAGTAGACAAAAAATTCAGCAAGAATATAGAAGACCTAAACGATACTACCAAACAATATGACCTAATGAACATTTATAGAATATCCTACCCAAACAACAAAAGAATGCACATTATTTTCAAGGACAGATGGAACGTTCACCAAAATAGACCATATTCTGGATCACAGAACAAACCTTATCATTTTTAAAGGAATGAAGTCATACCAAGTATGTTCTCTGACCATAGTAGAATCAATTAGATCAATAACAAAGATATATGAAAAACCTTTGAATATTTGGAAATTAAGCAATACACCTTAAAAAATTCATTGGTCAACAAGGAAGCCTCAAAGATAATTAGAAAATATTTTGAACTGAATGCAAATGAACCTACAACATATCAAAATTTGTAGAATGCGGCTAAAGCAGTTCCTAGAAAGAAATTTATACATGAAATGCCCTTTTAAGAAAAGAATAAAGGTCTCAAATCAATACTCTAAGCTCCCACTTTAAGAAATTAGAAAAAGAATAGCCAGCTTAACACAAAGCAAGAAGGAATAAAACTATAAATTTAAGAACAGAAATTAATGAAATTGAAAAAAGATAAAATAATGGAGAAAATCAATGAAACTGGAAGCTGGTTCTCTTAAAAAAATCAATAAAACTAATAAACTTCTAGCTATATTTACCAAGAGAAAAAGAGAGAAGATCTATATTACCAATATCAGGTATGAAAAATGGGGTGTCACTACAAACCCCACAGACCTAAAAGGCAATAAGGGAATACTACAGGCAACTCTCTCCACATAAATTGGAAATTTAGATGAAATGAACCAAATCTTGAAAGACACAAACTAACAAAATTCATTCATGAACAAGTAGATAGCACAAATAGTCCTTTATCTATTAAAGATATTGCATTCATAGTTGAAAATCCCCCCAAAGACCCATATGTCTTCATTAATGAATTCAACCAAAAATGTAAGAAATAAATAACAACAGTTCCATACAATCTCCCAGAAATGAGGGAAGAGGAAACGAAGGACTCATATCCAGAATTTGTAAAGAATTTTCAAAACTCAAAAATAAGAAAACAAGAAACCCTATTAAAAAAAATAGACAAAAGATCTGAACAAACAGTTCACTGAAGAAGACGTATCAATGGCAAATAAGCCCTTGAAAAGATAATCCACATCAGCATTCCGTAGAAAAATTCAAACTAAAAGAGAGATACCACAATATAACTATTAGGATTCTTAAAATATACACATATGGCACACATGATAATCCCACGTTTTAGCAAGAATACAGAGCAACTGGAACTCCCATACACTGTTGGCAGGAATACAATTTGTACTGTCATTCTGGGAAACAGTTTGATAACTTCATATAAAGCATACACTTACCATATTACTCACTTACTATCTCTTGGATATTATCCTAGAGAAATGAAGACTTAGGTTCTCCCAAAAACTTGTACATGAGTGATTATAGTAACATAATTCATAATTGATCCAAACTGGAAACAACCCAAATGTCCCTCAATGGGTAAATGAATAAACAAACTGTGGATCATTCATATGATGCTGTACCACTTAGCAATAAAAAGGAATGAACTAGGGGCCGGTTCAGTGGCCGAGTGGTTAAGTTCGTGCGCTCCGATGCGGCGGCCCAGGGTTCGAATCCTGGGCGCGGACATGGCACCGCTCGTCAGCCCACGTTGAGGCGCCATCCCACATCCCACAACTAGAAGGACGTGCAACTAAGATATACAACATGTACGGGGGCGGGGGCACGGGCGGGGTCGTTGGGGAGATAAAGCAGAAAAAAAAAAAAAAAGATTGGCAACAGTTGTTAGCTCAGGTGCCAATCTTTGGGGAAAAAAAAAAAAAGGAATGAACTATTAATAGGTGCAAAACATAAATGAATCTCAAAAGGTCACATACTGTTTGATTCCATTTATATGACATTCTGGAAAAGCAAAATTATAGGGATGGAGAACAAATCAGTGGCTGCCAGGCATTGGGGTATGAGAGAGTTTGACTACAAAGGGGCAGCATAAGGGAATTTTTTCAGATGATGGAACTGTTCTGTATCCTGTTTGTGGTGGTGGTTACATATATTTCTGTGTATGTTAAAACATATAGAACTGTATGCCAAAAAAGCGAATTTTCTGTATGTAAATTTTTTAAATGATCAAGATGCTTAAAACACTTCAAAAGATGTAAAGCCACTAGGTTCTATTTCCACATACCCTTCCACACATTCTTTGCTTCAAATTCTTAGCATCAGATCTCATGTTACCATTGACTTGAGAAGCATAAGGCAGATCTCTATTCCATGAGATCTAGTGCTTCTAATTATCGTCAATAAAAGAGGACAAACCTTCACCAAAATAAAAAATAAAACAAAACAAAATAAGCATATTTAGACTGGGAGAGTGTGTATGTGATAAAAGGACATTTATGATGAAATAATGATGACTCTTATAGAGAGATTTTCCAGAAATGTTCACCTTGTCTAGTACAGGGTATAAGCATATCGCTAGTTACAAGCTTCAATTTTTATGTACCTAGTGATATTTAGTTGAACCTAATCACTCTACCCAGAATAGCAGCTACTTGTATGGGAATTATATTGTTTCACTCTTCCATTCTTTAAGAGGATCTCTTGAACAATCCCAAGGACTTCGGGTTCAAGCTGAGGGGATGGGCAGATTTTGTTGACAGCTGCAGAAGTACCAAATACATTGGGTCTCTGTGGGAGGACAAGTGGGTGTAGACAAAGGGAGGTGAGTCCTGGAGGGATCACACCTACATGAGGTCACAGGTTGGGCTGTGAAGAGGATTGGGTTGGGTTTCTAGTTCTATCTATTCCTTTATAAGTTAACATGCCCTTGGGCGTGCCCAACATTACCCGTCATCTTTGTTCCCTCAGCAATCAGCCTGCTTGTGCTCAGCAAAGGGAGAGGCCTGGGGATGGGCTGGACTGAATCCTACAAAAATCCGTGTCAACAACCATCGCTCATCCCACTGATTCACTCATTACTCATTCCTTCAACCACTGTTTTGGGGGGTGCCTACTGTGTACCAGCTGCTGCTGGTGCTCTTTCTAGAATCATCTGAGAGCACACCATGTGCATATCACTTCCTGATGATAAGCAGTCTTCAATCCTGCATTATTCCTTCTGGGTTGAGTCATGTCTTTCCCACAAGAGCGAAAGCTCCTTGAGGAGACGAATCCAGTTTTGTGTTTTTCTGCATGACCCACAGAACATGACAGTCCTTTGTTAAACTTGTAAACAGACTGATAACAATATTCCCAGTACAGGGACACACTCAATAAATAATTGTCGATGGAATCAATTGATGAATAACTGCCACCTCTTGTATTCACAGCCACCCCCTCCACTGGGGATTCTGCCCTTACCTCACTCAAAGGCTGCCATCAGTGAAATGGACATTACAGTGTGCAGTTTTATAAAGAATCTAATTTTGAACTAATACATAGCAAAGAGTTATATACTAAAAATAATAGCTAACATTTTCTAAGAGCTCACCATGTGCCAGGATCTCTGAGTCCCTTAATAGCTTGTTTCATTTCCATAATAACCCAGTGAGGCAGGTGCTGTTAGCCCCATTTCACAAATAAGAAAGCAAAGACTTAGAGGTTAAGTAACTTGTCCAGGGTCACATGGATAATTATAAACAACACAGTTGGTACTTGACCCGGTTCTCTCCATTGTTAAAGCCCATCTTATTAACCGCCATGCTTTACTGTGTATGTGAAGTGAGCTGCGGTTGGGGAAGGTCGGGATGCTGCTAGAGACTTAGAAATTGCTTACGGTATTGGTGGAATCAGTGAATGACTGGTCTAGTCCAAAGAAAGCCTGGATTTGGGGATTCTGGAATCCTCCTTTACTCTGCTCAAACTAAGAGGTACCCAGAGATGAGCTGAAAAAAGAAGTAGGGAGCAAGAGGTAGCACACACACACAAAATACCCAGCCCCCAGAGAAAGGAAAACCATAGGAAACAAAAGCCAGGAGAAGCGACCTGAGGTCATGTTCTGTTGCATCATCACGAATTTTGGGCAGGGTTCACTTCACTGGTGATCGTCCTCACTTAACAACAAAGTTCATACTGTAGCCACAGCAAGATCACATAAAAATACAACTGTTACACAAATACATTTAAAAAAACCTGGGACGGGCTT